AATGTTGGGAGGATCGGACTTATTTCGTTGTATCCTCATCTTGAGCACTTGGTCAGGTTATGTTACTGTTGATAGCTGAACAGAGAAAGTCCAAGGATTTGATCCTCCCCTGTTCACTATATGGACAGGTCTATATTTGCACAGGATTATGTTGTAAGGCTTTAATTTTGGTTTTGTGGTTCAGATGATGCCACACAGTCTCTCTCCGTTTAGGGACCAACTCCCGAGTGGTTTATAATCCCTGGATCCTACGATTAGTCATGACCTCAATCCATCCTCATTTTCTAACACCCATCACTCTGATCGCAGGAAATAGTCATTGAGATCGACAGCACAAAAACAGGCCCTTCGGCCCATTGTGTTCACACTGGTCAATAACAACCACCTAACTATTCCAATTCCATTTCCCAACACTTGGCCTATAGCCTTGTATGTCTTGGTATCGCAAGTACACATCTAAATACTTCTTCAATGTCACAGAATCATACAGCACAGAAACAGACCTTTTGGTTCAACCAGTCCATGCCGAACATTATCCCAAACTAAACTAATCCCATTTGCCTGCATCTGGCCCATATCCTTCTCATTCTTTCCTATTAATGTTCCTGCCAAAATGTCTTTTAAATGTTGTAACCCTCCCACCCAGTAATGCTCTCCTACAACCTCTTCTATCAGGCAGAAGATACAGAAGCTTGAACACACGCACCAACAGGTTCAAGAACAGCTTCTTCCCTGCCGTTATTAGACTGATGGTTGGACCTCTCTCACTTCAAATAATGTTAACCTTGTTTTGCCCACCTCCTGTGTAGTTGTAACCTGTATGCCTCACTCTGTCCAAGCACCCTGTGATCTGTACATCCTTGCTTACTATGATCTGCCTGTACTGCTCGCAAACAAAGCTGTTCACTGTACTTAGGTACACATGACAATAAATCAAGTCAAATCAAATTTGCATCCACCCCTTCCTCTGGCACTTCATTCCACATACGAACCACACACTGTGTGGAAAAAGTTGCCCCTCAGGCCGCTTCTAAATCTTTCTCCTCTCACCTTAAAAATATGCCTCCTAGTTTTGAATTCCCCAACCCAGGGAAATGACATTTGCTATTCACCTTATCTACGCCCCTCATGATTTTATAAACCTCTAAAATTTAACCCCTCAACCTCCTACACTCCAGTGAAAAACGTCCCAGCTTATCCAGCCTCTCCTTATAACTCAAACCCTCCATCCCAGTAACATTATGGTCAATCTTTTCTTCGCCCTTTCCAATTTAATAATATCCTTCCCATAGCAGGATAACCAGAACTGTACACAATATTACAAAAGTGGTCTCACCAACATCCTGTACAACCTCCACATGATGTTCCAACTCCTATACTCAGTGGTGTGAGCAATGAAGGCAAGTGTGCTAAACACCTTCTTAACCACCCTGTCTACCTGTACACAACTTTCAATGAACTATGTACATGAACCCCTAGGTCTCTCTGTTCTACAACGCTACCCAGGGCCCCCTACCATTGAGTGTATAAATCCTGCCCTTGTTCGTCTTACCAAAATGTAGTACCTTGCATTTATCCAAATTAAACTCCATCTACCACTGCTCAGCCCAATGGTCCAATTGATCAAGATCCCTTTGTAACCTTAGATAACCTTCTTCACTGTCCACTATACCACCAGTTTTGGTGTCATCTGCAAACTTACTAACCATGCCTCCTAAATTCTCATCGTTTATGTAAATGTTATGAGGGTTTCTGCCTCTACCAGCCTTAGAGGCAGTGAGTTCCAGAATCCCATCACCCTCTGGGTGACAAAGTTCTTCCTCTCATTCCCTCTAAATCTTCTGCCCCTTGCCTTAAGTCTACGCCCCTGCTCATCCATCCCTCCATCAAGGGGGAAAAGTTTCCTCCTATCTACCGTGGCTCTACCCCTATATCATTTATAATTGATTGATCAGAGCAGTCAATGAGAGGGTGATGTTGGAATTGAACTCTGTTTAGCCTGCCCTACCGGAAACGGACTGGCTTCCTTTTGGAATTCTTTGGGGTTCTCCTGGAGATTGAATACAGCACTGGGAGCCATCCACAGCTCTGTTCCTAGTTTGAGGAAACCCTCGCAGACTCCAGACTCTTTCTGGGCTCCGGTGGAACATCCGTGTGTCCTGGCAAGGTGTTAGAGAGAGGGGGCTGAGTACGATTGGTCTCAGAGTTAGGCCGCTGCCTCTTCCCCCCTCCCTACCCCCTAGCACCGTGAGCAATGCCACGGGAGGTCGGTTGTACTTTTGCGAATCAACCTCGACTGGACGGCCAGCTGTGGCTCAGTCAGCAGCACTGTCCCCTTGGAATCAAAATGTTCTTGATTCAGATCCCACTCCAGGGCCACAAAATGTCACGGCTAGTGCTCCCACACGGTGGGGGTGCTGCACTGTCTGAGGGACTGCTGCTTCACATACTAAACTGGATTCCCTCTCAAACAGGCGTGAGTGATTTCCAGGAAGACCAGGGGAGTTTGCACTGGCCAATATTTATCCCAACCAGCATCACAAAAGCAGATGATCTGCACAATATCACGCTGCTGTTATGTGGGAGCTTTCTGTGCACATACTTGGCTGCCTGACTGACCACAGTACAAGGTGAGAGAAGCCTGACTGTCAAGTTTTATATAAACGTACTTTCTTTTGCCTTTACAATAACATATCGGAGGGAGGATATGCATGAACATGTGGACTTGACAGGGTCAATGCAGAGAGGTTGTTTCCCCTTGTGGGAAAGTCTAGGACCAGGTGGTATCATCTCAGAGTAAGAGGTTTGAGATAGAGATGAGGAGGAATGTCTTCTCTCCGAAGGCAGTGAATCTGTGGAATTCCTTATTGCAGAAGGCTGTAGAAGCTGGGTTATTAAGTATACTCAAAGCTAAGATAGACAGATTTTTGATCAGTAAAAGAATTGAGTTGTGGACAAAAGACAGGAGAGTGGAGTCGGGGAGGATCAGATCAGTCACCATCTCATAAAATGGCAGAGCAGCTTCGATGGGCTGAATGGCCTAATTTCTTACATCTTACAGTCTTAGAGAAGTGCCAGTTACTACTACCTTATATGGATATAATTAGCTCAATTTCCAGTTAGTACATCGATGTTAATTTCCGGTATTGTTTATGATCCCCTGTTTCTCATTTCTAGAGTGGTTTAAAATATTGGAAATATTTGGTACAGTAGATAAAGAGAAACTATAGCTTCTGGTAAGGCAAGCCTTACCAGAATGAGATAATCTTAAAATATAATCTTAAAAAAATACTCTCAAAATGAGTACGAGATCCTTAGTGAGAAGATTCGGGCCTCCCTCTGACACAAAGAGATGTGATACTCTGGAACTCTGGTCCCCACTCAACTACATTGCCCAATTCGGACAGCGATGGGTTAAGGGGACTCAAGAAATACAGAACACGGGTGGCCAGTTGGAGCTGAGGGCAGGCATGATCTAACAGGATGGCACTGTCGGCCTCAATAGGCCAAAAGGCCTACTCCTGTTGCTATGGCAGCCAAGTGCAGGTAACCCTGCAGCATCCACTTAACCCAGTTTAGCAGGGGTCAAATTGCCCAGCTTCTTGCTGTGAGATTCAGCTGATATTGGGTACATCGAGCAGGTGCAGGAGCTGTTACCTTGACCTATGTTTATCTACATTGTTTTTGCATTTGGGGCAGTTTCAGTTTGATTGAGTCCGAAGAGAAGTTTCAAGGACCATTTCTATATCACCTCTTGTCCTTCTAACACCGATCTGCGATCATTGCAAATGCAAGTTTCATCTAGAAATTTAGTTTGCAAAATGTGCAATGTTATATTAATTCTGAGGAGATTCAGGGACACTGCTTTTGCATTCAACACACACTCCTCCAGCTCAGGTACTTAGGGAAAACCTAATTAGAAAGGTGCTTAACTTGAAATATATTTCACCTTCCACCACTAACAAACAGGCAGGGAGCTCAACAAATG